AAAAAAAAAAAAAAAAAAAAAAATCAGCCAAGAAGTACTAAAGAAAGGCTACAGTTGTTTGATAGTTTTGTTAAAGTTCGAAAATCGTGCTATGTGTATACCGCAATAGCTAGGCCTTCTTGAACAGATATAAACAGAACTCCGAAAAACGCGCAAAGCATCACAAGAAAGTCGAATTTGTCGAGCCTCCAAATCTCACAGGCGGCCGGGACATCTATAAGGCCAATCACGGCAGTCACGATTATGGCCCCTAAGACCACGTTTGGCGTGTACTGGAAAAGCGGCATTAGAAACAAGAGCGTGACCATCACTGTGATCGCCATGACTATGTTCGAAACGGCTGTTTTGCAGCCGGCATTGTGGTTCACAGCCGATCTCGAAAATGCACCTACATTTATTTATTTATTTACTTATTTATAACAAAAAAAAAGAAAAAGAAAGAAACTAAGATGGTGTAAGTACTATAGCGAATAAACGACCTGTTGTGACGTAGCAAGAAGTGGACGAGCCGACTATATTCATTAGACCGATTGCGATCATCTCTTTATTCCCGTCCACTTGATAATTCTTCAAGGCTGCAAAAGTCCTCCCGACCGCAATTCCTTCCTGTTTGGGGGTAGAAAAATAAAATTCCGAAACATATTCTATTTTAAGTAATGTGTTCAAATTATGAATTCCAAAATTGGAATAATTCTTCATAGTAGTTCTATTTATGGAAAGTGAACATTTGGCTTACGGTAAGCGAAATGATGCCGGTCACTAGCCCGGTTTTGATCACCAGTCCTAAGTAGCCTCCGTGAAAACGCAACATGTTCCACGATGGAGGATTTAATCCTTCCTGCAATCTTCCTATCTGAAATCGCGAAAAATTAAAAAAGTATAAACAAAAAAATTCATTAAGGGAAATTAAATTTGAACTCATTTAACTGAACAAAAATAGTTATGAGCTTAGTTTTACAATGCTGATGCCGTGGTTTTGAGCTTTGAACGCGAAAACAAGCACAGTTGAGATGATAACAGAGAGAAGAGGAGCTCCAGCTGATACCCAGAACAGCTTTGGTTTTCTAATGCTCTGCATTATTCATGAATGGCATCAAATTAATGTGATTATTAAAAATAAAAAATAGGCAAAATTACATATTAATACACCACCTTTCATGTTTTTATAATTTAATCACCACTTTTGAAATTTTACAAATTAATACATCATATTTACTATTTATGCAAATCGATACATGAATGACGGTTCCATTAATAGAAATCTGACATGGCATTGACGTGGCTTAATGCCATGTCAGACTTCCGTTAGATTGTTGTTAAAGGGACCGTCATTCATTTATCGATTTGCAAAAATGGTAAAGGTGGTGTATTAATTTGCAAAATTTCAAAGATGGTGATTAAATTACAAAAAAAAATAAAAATTGGTATATTAATATGCAATTTTAAATCCCACATGTTGTGAACACATATATATATTCATTTGATAATAGAAAAAAAAAATAAGGGAAAGAATTAAATGAGTGTATGGGAAAAAGAATTATATACAATATGTCTTGCCAAGAGAAGTAAGACAAGGAAGCAAAAGCCCATCACTATCGTTTGCCATGACCACTGAAAATGGAAAACAAACATAACAAAATAAATAAATAAATACAAAATATGGATTATAAGTACTTAATTATTGTAGGGAAAACGGAGATACTATGGTCCCGTTACAAAACTATTTCATCGGGATTTGTAACCATTAGAGATCATCATGTCACCGTCTGGGATAGTTGATCTAATGGTTACAAACCCGGCGGGAAAGGTTCCGTGACGGACCGTAATATTTCCCAAATTAATTAATGGGATCAGTAATTGAAACAATAATAATTACCTCATGAGAGTTGTGAAAGACAGAAGTGAAAACAGGAAGTATGCCCATTTTCTTGGTAAAGTGTTGGATCCCAAGCAGGCTCTTAAGCTGCTGAAGAGAGACAATAATAGCAGCACCAGCCATGAACCCAATAAGTGTAGCTTTTGATAGAAAATCAATTATAAATCCAAGCCTGAAAAAAAAAAAAAAATTGAACATTAAAAAAAGTCACAATTATGCTAACAAATTCTATTAATTTATAGAAATTAAAAAAAAAAATGGAGAATTAAGAATTGGTTATTAGTGAGTAAAATTGTGAAGTATAGACAATTTTAGTCCTGTTGGTTTGATCCAGTGACGTTTTCAGTTAAGAGCTGAACATTTTGCTATTTGGTCATGTGATTTAAAAAAATTCAACGCAACTTCAGTCCCTGAAATTGCAACAAAAATTTTAAATTACAGTATTTAAATTGCTAATAAAAAATCTATGGGATGATTTTTTTATTTAGCAATTTAAGTCATGTAATTATAAATCTTATTTCAAGTTCAGTCTCCAAAGGACTGGAATTGCAGCAAAACACTAAATTGCAGGATTTAAAAGGCGAAAAGTTAAAATCTTATGACTAAAATTGTTATAACGTTAAACTAAGAGGACCATAAATGCAATTTTGGCTATTTACAACCTTAAGAAGCCCAAAGAAGATTGAAAGAGGCCAGCAAAGAAAGTAGAGGAAAACGCGAGCTCAAGGAACAAAATTGGGTCTTGGGCTGGGGAAACTTGTTGCCGGAGCATTGAGCCCATTATGAGAGATGCAATTGAAACTGGGCCCACCGCAAGATCCCTTGAGCTCCCAAGAACAGCATATATTAGTGGAGGCACAAAACTTGAATCTGTTATTTTAATCATAAATTCATCATTAATTTACAGATGTTATTTTTAATATATTCCATAAATGGATATGATCACTTAAATTGAATAATATAATAATAGTAATAAATAAAAAAAGAAAGATCACTTACAAAGACCAACAATGGGAGGCAAATTGGCCAGCTTTGCATAACTTATGCCCTGAATTTTACATTAACAAAAAGAGTTAATTAATTAATAAGTTTAATCATATGCACGAGTTCTAAAAGTGGCTAGACGCCCGCTATGCGCTCGACCAGCGCTTAGCGCCTAGAAAATATAGGTTGGGCCTAGTCGGTGCCTGGGCGAGGCCTAAAAATCAAGATTTAATATTTTGTTTTGTATTTATTTTCACTTCCTACAAAATAAAATTATCTCAACTTATAATAAATCAACACACATAAGTTCAAATAATAATATTAATATATTATAAAGAAAACATGATAATAAAATAATGTAATTAATATTTAGAAAAAAAAAATTGAAATATTTCCGCCGAACCCGCCTAGGCCGCTTAGGCGCCGCCTAGCCGCCTTATCAATTTTTTCAGTCGATTTATACAAATTGGAAGCGACCGAGAACTGGCTAGCGCCTAGGCGTTGCCTAGACGGCCGCCTAGGCCGACTTTTAGAACAGAGGTTATATGTGAGATGACTTACTTACATATATAATAATCTATAAATATAAAAATAGTAATTAATATAAATAATAAACCTGAGGAATGGCTAGGCTAGCAATGGTGAGACCAGCGACAATATCGGACTTGAGGAGTTTGAGGTTATATTTAGGACCCCATTCTAATATAGGAAATATGTACTGTGCTCCGACTGCAATTTTTGTCCTCAGCGGCTTGTTCCTGAAGTGGCGGAGGGGGTCGTCGGAGAAGAAGGTCTCTTTGAGTCGGTTTTTGAGTTTCTGGAAAGTGCTCCGGCGAGGCGGCGGCACCACACGGTGGACAACTTCCGTCTCCAGTGGCATCTCCACCGTGTAGGAGGTGGCGGCATTTGCAGCTTCCATTTTTTATTTTATTTTATTTTTGTGTGTGTGTGTGTGTGTTTTTAATTTATGTTTCAGGTTATAAATGGTAATGGCTGGACTTGAATTGCGTGCGGGTGTATATATACAGTGCAGTCGGAGTCGGTCGGACTTGTATTGATTGATATGTATTATCCTTTATCTATTATGTGTGTGGCGGATGACATTTGATAATAAAAATAATAATAATAATAATAATAATTTCCAACAGTAGTGTTCATGTATTTTATATTTGACCGGTAAACTTTAATTAAGGGAGATGCTATGGTCCCTGTGAGAACGAGAGAAAAATAATAAAATGTATTAATCATAAAGGTACATGTATATAAATACAAAAGATGAGTCTCACTTACGTTGGGTCTTAATCTAATCTGACCCTGCAATAGATAATACAACTATAATATAACTAACATCCCCCTCAAACTCAAGGTGGTATGGTGGAGATCAACTTTAGTTTGCTAATAAGCAAACAAAAGCGACTGGGAAGGAGCGACTTCGTGAAGACATCCGCTGGTTGGTCCGTAGAGGAGACGGAAAAAAGTTTCACAGTCTCATGTGCAACATGTTGTCGAATGAAGTGACAGTCAATCTCAATATGCTTGGTGCACTCATGAAAGGTATCATTATGAAACATCTTTATACTTTATAGCACTCTGACAATCACAATGTAGAGCAGTAGACGACGACTGAGGTGCACCGAGATCAGTAAGTAGCCGACGTAACCATAATAGCTCGGAGATGGAATCAACAAGAGCACGGTACTCGAACTCAGCACTCGATCCGGATACGAAGGTTTGCTTCTTACTACAACCAAGAGACGAGTGAATCACCCAGAAAGAAGCAGTACCCAGTAATGGAACGACACTCAATAGGATCTCCAACCCAATCTGCATCAGAATAGTCGCTAAGTGTCAAGGAAGAATGGGCCGAGAAGTGTAAACCATGCAATAGAGTGGCCTTCACATAGCGAAGAAGGTGCAATACAACAGAATGATGTGTGGTTCTCAGAGCAGCCATAAACTGACTCACAATATGAACAACATGGGCTATATCAGGCCGAGTGACATTCAAATATATCAAACTCCCAACAAGCTGACGATATAACGTAGAATCCTCAAGAAGAGAGTCATCTAGTGGAGTAAGGCGAACATCATAATCAAGAGGTGTGGAAGCTGTTTGACAATCAATGAGACCGGCCCGAGCAAGAAGATCAGAGGCATACTTGGCTAGAGACAAATAGAAGCCATCAGAGAAATCAGAAATCTCAAAACCCAAAAATCAGCGAAGCTGGCCTAAACTTTTCATCTCAAAACGCTGACGAAGATAGTCTTGTAAGTCAGAAATACCGGTAACATCATCTCCCGTGACGATCATATCGTCAACATATAACAACAAAATAATGATCCCGGATGAGGAGCACCGAAGAAAAGCATAATCGTGATCACTCGTAGTGAAACCAAACTGAAACAATGCAGAACTGAACGTGGCATACCAGACATGAGGCGCTTGTTTCAAACCATATAGAGCTTGATGCAGACGACAAACCTTCCCAGAGGACAAGGACCCCAGAGGAGGAGTCATGTAACCTCCTCAGATAAGGCATTGTGCAAGAAGGAATTCTTGACATCCAAATGTAGAAGAGACCATGGACAAACAACAACAACAACAACAAGTAAACGCCCAACAGTAGTAAGACGAGCAACTGGTGCAAAAGTCTCTTCATAATCGATGTTGTACTCCTGTGAGTACACCTTAGCAACTAGTCGAGCTTTGTAGCGCTCAATAGATCTATGTGAATGTGTCTTGATCATATAAACCCATTTGCATACAATGGGTGTCTTTCCAGCAGATAGACCCACCAAATCCCAAGTATAAGTCTTCTCAAATGCCTACAATTTCTCAGCCATAGCTTGTTGCCGCAATGGATCAGCACTCGCCTCACAAAAAGATCTAGGATCATGATGAGATAGTATGGCCGAATAACAATGATAGTCAAGTAAGTGAGAAGAGGGACGACTTACACTGGTTGATCGTCGGTGATCAATGGTGGGCGAAGGGACAGAATCAAAAGAGGACTCAACTGGTAGCATCGGTTCAGGATGCGCAGGTGGAGACACTTCAGAAGACGGAGGGATGACAGGCGTGTCAATGAGCTGTGAGTCAGGACAAGTACTGGAAAGATATTCGAAGAAATGACATGAAGAAATGGGACGACGAATCAAATGGAATGTGAAATTTAGACAAAGAAGAAAAAGTAATATGCTCCCAAAAGGTAACATGACGCGAAATATGCAATCGATTAGCAATAGAATCCCAACACCTAAACCCTTTGTGTTCTACCCCATAACCTGAAAAATATATAGACGAGCTCAAGGTTCTAATTTGTTCCTCTAAGGGCATAACTGAGTATAATCAGGCGACTGACCATACAACCTTTCAAAAGGACTGATATCTCAGAGAACTGATGAGGGTAATTGATTGATATCATAAATAGCAGTCAAGGTCGTCTCACCTCAGAAACGATCAAGACACTGAGCAGAAAGGAGAAGAGCACGAACAGTATCAAGAATGTGATGATACTTACGTTCAGCTAGTCCATTTTGTTGAGAAGTATAAGGACATAAACACTGAACTACGGTGGCCTGATCAAAAAGAAATTTTAAAAAGGTAGAATCATTGTACTCAAGGGTATTGTCAGTGCGTAAGACATTTATAGGACAAGAAAATTGAGAGTGAATCATTCTAGCAAATTGAATATATATGGTAGGCAACTCAGAACGATGTTTGAGAAAATAAATCCAGGTAAAACGAGAAAGTCATCAACAAAAATAACAAAGTAGCGAAAACCATTCATAGAAGCAACCGGAGAAGGATCCCAAATATCAGAATGTACGAAACCTAAAGGTTTATCAACAATTGACAAATTCCCAGAAAAAGAAATAGTCGAGTGTTTCCCAAATTTGCAATGAAGACAACTAAAAGACTCAAAATGACATGGATTTAAAAGACCTTTATCATATAAAGAACGAACTTTATGTGAAGACGCATGTTCAAGATGAAGATGCCACTGAAAGCTGGACTTATTATCGGTTACTAGAGCAGAAAATGAGGAAGAAAGAGGGATATGAAGAGACTCAAGCTCAAATAAACGGCCCATCTTGCGACCCATCCTGAGAAGTCGACCCGTCTGTGTATCATGAAAACCTGAACACAAGAAGATGAAAATATAACATTAAGGCCTTGTTCAACCAATTGACCAACATAAATAAGATGTAAACATCATCAAGGATCTTAAATAAATAATTTTGGTGTACATATAATACTTACTTGATGCGGAAGACGACATAATATGTGATTTTGATCTTGATGATCACAAGAGGTTGAATAAAGTGTTAGATCTAAATCAGTTTCTCCCTTCTGACCGTTCCTTAACGTAACAGAAAAGTGATGGGATTATACTGCGTACCCTAATAGGAGGAGAGATGACTAATTTATATAGGGGTGTCTTTAAATCTGGTGCGTCCATCAAATATCCAGATTAATGGCTTTTGTTTGACTATTAAATAAGGTCTGGCCCAATAGGATAATTAAATATGAGCCCAATGCTTTCGGGCCACATATTCTTACATTCTCCCACTTGGTCCGAAAGCCCATAATTTAATAGTATAACATTAGGTGCACATAAACAAATCCCATTATGCCATACATCATAATAAACTATGACATGATAAACCATATAGTGAGAGTCATGACGGTTGTACACTCTCGATTCGCATACTTCCTTCCATATACTACTACACTAATAGTTTAACACATCAAGTTCCATAATTATATAAATATATCATAATGTCCACTTAATTGTCATGAAGACATTCATTTCTTGTTCTAAACATAATGTATACAAAATCATAATGAAGAAGAAATTCGATAACAGTCAGAAACATAACATCAATGAGCTCAAGAGTGTGCCATAACATCATCATAATCAATCATCAATACAACCTAGACCCATTCTATGTACATGTTCTTTAAATGTCTTTGGTTGTAGACCTTTAGTTAACGGATCAACAATCATAAGGTCTGTTCTTATATGTTCAATGCACACTCTTTGTTTCTGAACTTCCTCCTTAACGGCAAAGTACTTTAATTCCACGTGTTTTGCACCCTTGGAATATTTGTCGTTTTTGGAGAAGAAAACTGCTGCGGAATTATCACAATACAATTTCAACGGCTTGGTAATGGTGTCGACAATCCCAAGTCCCGAAATAAAGTTCTGCAACCATAATGCATGAATTGTAGCCTCAAAACAAGCCACAAATTCAGCCTCCACAGTAGATGCAGCTATGACAGTCTGCTTGGCACTTTTCCACGAAATTGCTCCTTCGGCGTGGAGAAAAACATAGCCAAACGTTGACTTGCGACTGTCAAGGCACCCAGCAAAATCTGAATCTGAATAACCAATCACCTCAAGGCGATCAGATTTCCTAAATGTGAGCATATGATCCTTCGTCCCTTGAAGGTATCTCATCACTTTCTTTGCAGCTTTCCAGTGATCCAATCCAGGATTACTTTGATATCGGCCAAGCATCCCAACAGCGAAGCTAATATCAGGCCTCGTGCAAGTTTGCAAGTACATCAGACTGCCGACAACAGAAGCATATGTAATTAATTCCATACTCTTTCGTTCCACATCATACTTAGGGCATAGCATAAGACTAAACTTGTCCCCTTTCTGTAATGGGACAACACTTGATGAACAATTGTCCATACTAAATATCTCAAGAATTTTCTCGATATATGCTTTCTGAGACAACCCTAACAATCCTTGTGATCTATCCCGGAATATTGAAATTCCAATCACATAGGATGCCTCTCCCATATCTTTCATTTCAAAATTCTTTGAGAGAAAATCTTTAGTCTCATGCAAAATTCCCAAATCATTAGCAACAAGTAGGAAATCGTCAACATATAGAACCAAAAAT